CACTATGCACCTAAGGAGCACGGGGAGAGCGCAAGTGCCCATGTCCCACACTCAGACATGCTCACCTCGTGAAGAGCGTGTATGGACTATGACGTGGAGGGCTCTCCCCTCCTGCCCTAAAGCAGGGGGAAAGAGTCCTCCAGCCCCTATGGGCCCAGTGCGCGTCACGTCCCCCGGGACCGGGGGCCCGGGGAAACGTAAGCGCATTACGCCCGGGGAGGGGGTCAGATGCCCACTGACCCACAGCCCCCCTCCCTCCTCACCAGTCCTGTGTTGCCCCAGCAAGCACAGACAATGAAAAGGAGCCAGACATGTCCAAGAGATAAAACTTTATGAAGGGGCCTGGCGTTGACCAAGACGCCGCTGTGGATATGTCCTCCACGCTCACGCCGTTAAATAAGGCTGTTGACACAGCCATAGCTCGTGTAGAGTGTGCACGGACCCCCGTGGGGAAGGCTCTCCCCGCCTGTCCGTAGGCATGTACAATGCACTCGCAGAGCCAGCCTGCCAGGCGTTTCTTGGACAGGGCTTTCCCGGTCATCCCCGAAGCACACAAACAGCTGTTCAGTGCGTCTAAGGGCAGCCGTGTGCTCCACATAACATGCCAGCGCACGCACCGGGCAGAGGAGGTGCAGTTTAGCCTCCCCAGCCCCACTATGGGGTGGAAGATTAAAGCCCCCCAACTGAATAGCCCTCGACCTGAACGCACTCCTTAGGCTCTTGGGCACAAAGGAGGGGTTCGGTCTGAGTGTCGCCCCGCTCTGGTCACCCCGGATCACCAAGCAACTCTGGTGCACCGATGGAGCGGTTAACTCTCTTGGCTGATGTTAAGGCAAGTAGCAATGCTGTCTTCCAAGACAGTGCTTTCAGGGAGGAGAGCTCCAGAGGCTCAAATGGTTCTGAGAGCCTCGAGCACCAGCGGCAGGTCCCACTGCGGGGCAGAGGCGTGCACTACTGGGCGCAGCCTCCTGACCCCCCTTAAAAACCGCAACATCAGTGGCTGACTAAAGGCTGACCTGCCGTCAAATCCCTCATGGCAGGACGAGATGGCTGCTGCATACACTTTCACTCTGGAATGAGCAAGCCCTCTGTCCACCAATAACTGTAAGTAACACAAAATAGATCCCAACTCACAAGATAGGGGCTCTATTTTCCGCTCCTCACACCATCGCTGGAATCCCAGCCACTTCGGCCTGTAACAGGCTGTGGTGGATCCCGCTCTAGCTGCCTGGATAGACTGAATAACACTATCAGACAATCCACCCTGCCTTAGCCTGTCCCTCTCAGGAGCCAAGCCTGGAGAGGTTGGCACAGAGTGGGTAACGCCCCGATTGCACCTGCCTCTTGAGACATCGCCCCCCAGAACTGGGGAAGCGCCCAGGGCTGGCCCACCTTCATCTGTGTCATCTCTGAGTACCACGGAGCCCTGACGCGATCCGGCGCTACTAGGATGATTGACAGACGTTCCCGTCTCACTCTCCCCAGGAGAGGGAGAATGAGACGCAGTGGTGGAAAGGCGTAGAGCAGCTTTCTTGGCCATGGCTCGTGTGCAAACGCGTCCACCCCCAAGGGCGGGTTGTCACTCAGAGCCATGGAGAACCACAGTGCGCAGTGGCTGTTGCGCCGGCTGGCGAACAGATCCACCTCTGCTGTCCCGAACAGTGCCCTCCACTGGCTTCCTGGCGGTCGCCGGAAGCATCAGACAACGACAACGTTGTCGTCGTCCCTCTCCCGGACGAGCGGGCCCGTCCGGTCCGCTGGCATGGCGAACACGAAGGGCACTCCCTCATCGTGGTCCTCCATCTCCACCACCTCGAGTTCTGGGTCCTCCACCGGCGAGACGTAACAATCCCCGAACTGCACCAGCCGCTGGCGGCGGCTGAGCCGAGGGATCAAACGGCAGGCGCTGCAGGCCGGAAACGGGCCCAGGTTGGCCGCCGCGTGGTCGGACCCCAGGCACTCGATACAGCGGTGCAATAACGCCTGGGCACGAAGGGCAGGGTCGTTGCTCCAGTAATGGTGAGTCCATTTTTCTTCTTTATCCGTCTCTCTTCACTCAGTGTTTTCTCTTGCTTGCTGAAGAGAAAGGGATGACAGTCAGGAGGCGAGGCCTCCTTTTATGCGGTGAGATGTGTGCACATTCAGGTAGGCCCGCCCCGGGGCCGGCTACGTCTATAGAAGTCTCAGTGGATGAATGCTTGCATGATATGATCAAGGGGAGTACCCATAGAGTCCAGTAGAGGGCGGAGCCTGCGGAGATATAACAAATACTACGGTCTTGAAATCGACATTACAAGTAAATGTCCTGATTTCAAAATCCTACTTGAGTAAAAGTAAAAAAGTGTAAGGATCAAAATATACTTAAAAAAGTACAATATGTAAGAAATACAATGACCCATTTCAGAATAACATAGAGTAGAGAAGTATAAGCGGCTGAATGTAATAATATTATCAAAAGTACTCGTTATGCAACAAGGATATTTTCACAGTATTATAATTTACTATGGTTATAACAGTATACTCTCTTTCTTTTACACTCTTTCAACAACGAAGAGCATTTCAGTTTTGTAGTTTGTAAATGTGGACCAAATGGAGATATTTCAAATACTGTGTAGATTAGTAGTACAGAACTGCATTATACCATCAGCATATTATGTGTTTTTATATGTACAAAGTAACTATGAGTGTATTATAAGTACAATACTTGAGTAAATATACTTAGTTACTTTCCACCGCTTACGTAAACTATGATGTCTCATGCAAGTGACCCAGTTTATTCAAGATATGAGCCGTTCCGTGAAACATTCACCAAACCACTGGCTTGTGACTGCCTGAGGTGAAAAGACATAAAATGAATATGTGAATTAATGATTGTTGAGGGTAGGAAGTAGGCTTGTCCATACAATGCATAGTATTTGCAAAGCATTTTTTACAGCTTTATTCAGCGTCATTCATTTCACAGTCAAATATTAGATGTGAAAAACCCCCTTGATTCTGACGTTAGATCCATCATGCATGTCACTGTTAACCAATATTGACACAGCTGATAGTGTTCCTCTTAGCATCCAAACACAGTATGGCAGTACGTGGTAGGAAAATCCATTTGATTTAGCAAAGTTGTGGTGGAAAGTAAATAGTACATTTACTCAAGTATTGTACTTACGCAAAACAAAAGTACTATACTTGAGTTTTTGTTCACATTAAACTACTTTATACTTTATACTCCATTACATGTTGTTGGCAAATGTTGTACTTTTTACTCCACTGCATTTATTTCACAGATGTAGTTACTTACTTTTACAGATTTAGGTGATTAAAATAAACAAATGAATCAACTAATACATTATTATATATTATTATAGGTTAAAGGTAGGGTAGGTAAGTTTGAGAAACCGGCTCGAGATACACTTTTTGTTATATTCCATGGGATGCTCTTAACATCCCGATAGCAATGAATATCTTAAGTGCTTTGACAAAAAATCCATAAAAAAATGTCATCTGTGGAAGCCGTAGTACTGTAAAAAGTACGACCAATCATTTTAGCCGGCCCGGCTAAAATAACTGGATGGCCTACCTGCCTGTCAGCCTTCCATCTGTGCACAAACTTATCTCGTGCCCTCATTGGTCATGTGCGCGTTCGTGTGTGTTGGAGGAGGGGCTCTGTAAGGAAGTGGCAGATTTTCTCCGGTTGTGTATTTTCTAATTCTAGCGATCTCGAGCCGGTTTCTCAAACTTACCTACCCTACCTTTAAGGTACCCAGTTGAATATAAAGTAATTTAAATAAACCCCACTTTTACCAAGTGCAACTCTGAAGTGATGAACACATAAATGCACAATTAATTATAATAAAATCATTTAAAAAATATACCACCTGGAATATACACTCTCATTGTTTGCCCTTTTTCTCCTCAGATATCCAACTAAGTAAACAATCAATATTATGAATGCTGTGCATGTGTTGTCAACATGGTGAAGATGTTTTCTATTAAACTGAACAATGAGTACCAGGGTCACATTTTTGTGATTTAAGGGAACTGTTTGTCATGTTCTTCTGCGGTGTGGAGGATGTTTACAGCTTGACTGCTGGAGCCTTTGTATTGCTCTCACTCTCACACACAGATTAACCATGGTGACATGAGCCTCACACTGATCTCTCTGTTGTTAGTTTGGTGGTGTTGGAGGAACATGGCCCCCGCAGCAGAACCACACCGTGCCAGGCTGCACAAAGTGACGGTGTGTGTGTGTGTGTGTGTGTGTGTGTGTGTGTGTGTGTGTGTGTGTGTGTGTGTACAGTTGAAGCTGCTGCAGAGGAAATGATTGTCTCTCTTCAAGCAGCTCCTATTTTCACACTTTGCTCATGTATTATGGTGATGACAATCTTTTATTTTGACTGGTGGATTTATGTCAAATAAATCTTCTCAATGATTCTGATCGGCCGTAATAAAAGGAAATGGGAGGAACTGAGTCTCGTTTTTCCTCTGTTTTCAACTACAGCTTCACACAGTCTGCAGTGTTTCATTTACGTTTTTTAACTATTGGTTGCTTTTACTGTAAGTGTCAAAAAACATTAGCTAATGTTATATAAGCAGAGGTGGGAGAAGTACTCAGATCTTGTACGTGAGTAAAAGTAGAAGTACCAGAGTGTAGGAATACTCTGTTGCATTCAAAATGTTACTCAAGTAAAAGTAGAAAAGTATTATCAAAATATAGTAAAAGTAGACATTGTGCAGATTGGTCCATTCAGAATAATATATATATAAAATATATAGGGCTTAAATGTGCCACTCTTCACAATGAGTACTTTTGGTGCTTAAAGTATATTTTAATGCTAATGCTTTTACTTAAGTACAATTTTGAATGCAGCACTTTTTCTTGTAGCTGAATATCTTTACACTGTAGTATCGCTGATTTGACTGAAGTGAATAATCTGAGTACTAATGTTTCAAGTAAAGAAAGTATCATTTTGGAAATGTTTTTTTCTTAAGCCCAAAACAAAAGCTTTTTATTTTTTCACAAAGCTGTCATATACAAATACACTTATCTTACATTACATTTCAGAAAACACTTACATTATTTTTAAATAAATAAAATACCAAAAGTTGTCTGACATGAAATAGACGCTCTAAACTCCAGTACCTTACAATCCTTCATTATGTACAATAATTATAGTTACTGTGATGAAGAATAAGAACACAGGAGGAGGAGACCCGAGCTTAAGAGTTGAACAACTGCTTCATATGATGGGCAGGGTTTTTGAGTCACTCAAATTGCATTTGATCAGAAACCTCCCTCGAGTTAAAAATGAATCATCAAAAAATGTTCACATTTAAAAGGTTCCTAAAAGCATTCTGGCGCTTCTAAATCTGTATTTTCATGGTTGATTGCGTTCATTTCTACGTTGCTTTGGACAAAAGCGTCAGCTCAATTAAATGTAATGCTTGCAGCCAGTTAGTCACACAGTGCATTTAGAGTTCTTAAAAAAAAAATTGAAATGTTGACAACCGAGCAGCATTCAATTAAATGTTGTGCTTAGCTTCAGCATTAGCTGAGTTGGCAGTTGTTACTGAGTGCAGGCAGTATGGAGGCTCTTAATAATATTAATAATACATTACATTTATAAAGCGCTTTTCCTGGTGCTCAAAGCGCTTACAAGCAAGTCAAACAAAATAACAACAATCTTAAGAGCGAAGATAGAGCAACTTTTAATGATATGACATAGATTTAACCGGGATGTTTTGGGATTTAAAGGGTCACATTCATCTGTTCAAGTGTCTGTCCTTCCCATCCATCAGCTCCGCCCCTCTGAGCCCAGCAGCCCCGCTCTCTTTAGGACTTTGTCCACATTAGGAATCAGTTTTTCTTGGAAGTCCCACAGCCGTTTGTCCTCACGGAGCTGCTCAAACTTTAACGACCCCCGCAGTGCCACGCGGACATGAATGATCCGACAAACGTCCATAGGAACCTTGAACCGTTCTCCAAAGTTCTTGATCACTTCATGCACCGAGGTCTGCTCCACCAACCTGTGAGGAGATCATCGGTTAATTATAGTGCGATTCTCTGTCCATACCTTTTAATACATCAATATCCCCCTCACGAACACAAGCACAGAGTCACATTACATATACACACATACAATTTTCACCACCATATTCCCTTTTTTTTTGTATGTACTTGTTATTTTAACCACATTGTATTTGTATTGTTTGCAATCACTATTGAATTTGATAATTTCTTGTAAATAAGTCTTGTGTTTTCCATAACATTGTGCATTTTGTGGAGCCTCCAAAAAAGCCGATGAGGTTTTTGTGCCTCTACCGGGACTGTATATTATGTGTTTTCTCTTATATTTGTGTATTTTTTAATTGTGCAAACAATAAACAACCTTCTACACATCTATTGGGGTGTGGGATGTAAGTGTTCAAAAATCATTTTACAGCATTTTTAGATGTTTTACTATAATATTAAAAGTGTTTTACAATAAATAACTTAAATAGTGTTTGAAAAAAAAGATCTATAGCCACATTTATTATTTATTCAGCCAAAAGCTCGGAGTGTGGGCCCTGAGTGAGTAACCTTTTGGTCTGACAAATTCAGCCTACCTTGGCTGAACTATCATCTTGTGCGGGTGGTATATACTCCTGTCGGGATCCTCCTTGTAGATATGCTCCAGAATATTAACTCCCGGCACGTCGCTCCACTGAGGCAGGTGAAACCTCCCGCTTGGCTCAAAATGGTGCTTGGGGAAGATGTGGTTCTCAATGAGGAATACTCCTGTCTACAGAATGTCATGGAGAGAAAACATAAATAAATACTTCTATTGTTTGGATATTGATGTAATATTTGTCTTGCACATTACTTAAACAATACATTTGGCTGCTGCTTTTGAAGCATGTCCATCAGAGACATCAGGTTGTTGTGTTTGTACGGCATTATGATCTCATCGATGTCGTTTAACAGCACGTAGCGCGAGCGCTCCATGGATCTGTAAATGCACTCATTGAGCGTGGTCAGCTGGCCGAAGTAGTGAACGTCCCCCCCGCTCTGTGAGAAGAGCCAGCCCTTTGATGGGTTCAGGTACCGGTGGATGGGCCACGGGACCATCTCCACGAAGCCCTCCTGGCTGTAGCTCTGCAGCAGGCGGTCCAGCTCTGGCCCACAGCTGGTTTTATAAATCACCACCCGGTCCACACCCAGCAACCTGTAGCAAAGCAAACAAATGACAAATGATTTGATCAACCAAATTACAAATATAAACTATATCTAATGAATAAAAAAATGTGTCTGACTAACCAACAATCCAACATTGTAACCCCCAGTGCTACTACACTAGTATGACCTAAAAAACAACAGCAGCATGTTTTTAATGATAGTGCCTTTAATACATATTTTGAAGGTAAAGCAATAATAAAATCTCTGGTTTTATCAACATTGAGAAGTGCATCTTTGTTTTTTCAAATCGGGAAGAGGCAAACACTTGATGGATAAAACTACTTTCAGCAGTGATTCTCAAAGTGGAGTCGTTGGCCGAAGCCAGCGAGTCCTTGAAAACTTTTTAGATTCATTCATATAACTTTTTTAACAAAAACGTTTTGAATCTATAAATGTTCATAGATGAATTGTTAATCGAACAAATACATAACTCTGGATGCTGGATACTGTTGGGCAAATATTTTCCTAGGCCCATAACTTGGACCTAGTTTATCAGTTTGCCCTCGCTGAGCACAGGCCTGCGACCTTGGGGTGCTCTCTGTGTTTTGTCTCCTTATTCCTGCCCAGCCTCAGCTGATAGAGGTGTTATAGTGCTATGCCTGTGTTATCTTGCTATGCAGAATGTTGATTATTCTCTCAGAACCAGCTAAATACATAGGACTGGGTGAGAAATCTTCAGAATTGGTTAGGGCAAGAGCTATGTCTCCTTGTGGCTGCACGCATGTCTTTGTCAATCCTCTGGCCCTAACTTCCAATAAGTTATTCAGTGTTTGCCAACCAATGCTCCAGAAGTTTCCATTACAGATACCACCAGGGGCGGCTCCAGGTGGTAGCTTGGAGTTGCTACAGCAACTAGGCCAAATGTTGGTGCTACTGTAGTAGCAACTGCAAAGCAACCCCAATACCACCATCAGTATAAATATGTAATGTGACAGTCAAAGCTCATTGTATAAGACTCAACTCATTACACTAAATGTATGCTAGTTAGTTTGAATCGTAGGCTATACTAGCAGCAACCATAACATTGTATATATTAATTTATTTACATGTATATAGACTTCTGCATTTACTTGGTCACATACAACATTCTCTGCATTATTAAGCTTATTGCCTTATTTATACATATATATATTTATTTAGATTCAGACATAGTTAACTTCATCTGCATTACTTGCACATTGGTCTTGCAACATAACCTGCACTATTCTATTCTACTGTTCCTTATGCACCATTTTTATTATTTTATTTTTTAATTTGTTTTATTGTTTTATGTCCTATATATAATATGTTGCATTGTTGGAGGAGCTTGGGACATAAGATCTAATTGCCAGATCTACACTGTAGCATCTTTGCATATGACAATAAAGCCCTTGTACCTTGAACCTTAAGGTAACTGGCCCTTTAACCTAACCTAACCAGAAGCATCGGTGCAATCCAGAGACACTGCAACAGTACCTTTGCAAATGTCACACCATTCACACAATATTTTTTTTGTCAGTGGTTTGTGGTTGTTGCTGTACTAACCTGTACATCTCCAGAGTCTGTGCAAACTGAAGCACATTGTTGTAATCTCCGAACAGGTTGGAGATGCAGACTGTGAAGTTAAACTGTAACTTTTGCTCCTCTTTCCTACCGGTCTTCTGGTTTCTTATAGGAAGCCAAGTCTGGTTAGGTATTGTAACACGGTGTGGCTGCGTCAACAGAGTGACATGTGTAGCACTGAAGCCCTTAGGAATTCCACACATGACATCTGTTGTGATGAAAGGAAAACCAAAGTTGTCATTGTGTTTTAAAATGGTTGTTGGAGTTGCACTTGACAACTGGCCTGCACAGCAGAAAAGACAGTAGAGGGGTTGGTCGGAGTCTATCTTAAAGATGCCGATGATGCGTATATCCAAGCCCTTCACTCTCTGGTCCATGTAGGCCGATACCAGAATGTGCTTGGTATTGTAGAGGGGGGTTAGGGTCTGCTCAGAGATCTGCAGGGGGCACATTTTGGACGCAGGAAGCGGCTTTGGGAAAGCCTTGTACGTCCTGTGTATTGTCACATTGAGGCTGAGGAGGAAGATAAAGATAGCAATAAAGAGAAGGAGTAACTTCCCTTTTAGTTCTTTTGCCTTTTCCATCCAGGTAGAGGTGAAAAACAAACCCAACCTGGGGCAGAAAGAGGAATCAGTTCAGATTACACATTTGCGGGAACAAAACAAACACAATGATGTTTTAAGCCATCAATGAAATCACATTTTTAGCATATTAGCTAAGAGTAAAACGTTGAAATCAGCTTGAAACAGAACTCTCTATCTGTCTTCCACTTAAAGGTGAGACAGTCTCTAGATTAACAAAGCAATCAAACGCTAAATTGTTGATGCGGATGTAAAAGTGAGCATCCTAACTCTGCCTCAACATGAACAAATATTTAAAGTCTTTATCACACCTATTTGGCACAGGCACTGCTCCTTTATCCTTACAATATAACGGTTTCACACTCAAAGTGCAACCGCACCTTAGGGTGCAAACACATACACAACACAAAGACTGAACTTTAATGGTTGATTAAATATTTGCTTGAGTGTAAGGATAACACATGAAAGCTTAACAAAAAAGAAAATAGTAGAAAAACATTTAAACTCAAGTCATGCAGCTGTGATATCAGTGATTGACCGCTTAATAGTATTGCATTATAGGCTACACATATTTTAAAGCGATACAAAACAACAGTAAGCAGTAGAGGAAAGCAAGTCTATTAACAATAGTAGGGAGACCAGGGACAGTTGTAACACGGGACAGTTGTAACGCCTTCAATATCTCCAATCACAAACAAGCTAGAGTGATGAAACTCACTCTGCACATGCTCAGTTAGATGGAAAGATTGCTGTGAAAAAAAGGAGCAAAAGTGTGTTTCTGAGGTAAAACATTAACACAAATTATATGATGTATTTTTTGGATACTGTCTTGAGGTCAAATGTCTAGGAATCCAAACTAGTATTATTAGAATCACTGTTTTGTACGCTAAAAATATAACTAGCTAAATATGGGTCAAGCTAGCAATCAGGCAGGTTCACAGGGGGTGAAAACATGACTGGTGGTCCTGGGACGGTTGTAACACGGACCACCTGGGACGGTTGTAACATGGCACATTTACAATGATGGCTCATTTGCTCGAATGATCAATATTGTTGATTGGTGTGCATTATCCCTTTAAAAATAAACAGAATAAAATACTGTCTGTAAAGTGTGTACGTGCGTTTACAGAAAGAGGAAGCCAGACAGGGGAATGTCCCTTCCTGTCCCATTGGGGCAGATGAAACCTCCCGCTTGGCTCAAAATGGTGCTTGGGGAAGATGTGGTTCTCAATGAGGAATACTCCTGTCTACAGAATGTCATGGAGAGAAAACATAAATAAATACTTCTATTGTTTGGATATTGATGTAATATTTGTCTTGCACATTACTTAAACAATACATTTGGCTGCTGCTTTTGAAGCATGTCCATCAGAGACATCAGGTTGTTGTGTTTGTACGGCATTATGATCTCATCGATGTCAAATGTCTAGGAATCCAAACTAGTATTATTAGAATCACTGTTTTGTACGCTAAAAATATAACTAGCTAAATATGGGTCAAGCTAGCAATCAGGCAGGTTCACAGGGGGTGAAAACATGACTGGTGGTCCTGGGACGGTTGTAACACGGACCACCTGGGACGGTTGTAACACGGACCACCTGGGACGGTTGTAACATGGCACATTTACAATGATGGCTCATTTGCTCGAATGATCAATATTGTTGATTGGTGTGCATTATCCATGTAAAAATAAACAGAATAAAATACTGTCTGTAAAGTGTGTACGTGCGTTTACAGAAAGAGGAAGCCAGACAGGGGAATGTCTCTTCCTGTCCCTGTACACAGTTGAGTTTAAAAAAAAAAAAAACATTTTCCAACCTGCACTTATTTAATAGAAACATCTTAAATACATTGTTTCAGTAGTTGACACATTGAGAATGTATAATATAGCAAAATGGCTATCCTAGTGTAAATGTTTTTTTACTTATTGGGGAAAACCCCAAAAGTGTTACAACTGTCCCTGGTCTCCCTACAGTACTTACATTTATTTTTGAGGTAACATGTCATGCAGTTTTTACTTCTCTTTATTTTAGGGATCAGTATCACCTCAAAACATTAATTTAAGAACTCTTTTAATTAATATTTCACATACCAAACATATAATCCCTCTAGATATGACACATTCTTGCAAAATAAGTAATGATTTCAAAAAGTGTAGTATAAAAAAATAGCTTATTATGCCACTAGGCTATAACACTGCAGTAGCCAATCTGCAGTATGACAACTGATGATACTTGATTTGGTTACTTATAGTTTACCATTACTGGAGCAAACCTTTGCAGGGCTTTTCGTTGAATGGAGAAGTATGATTCTGTGGTATTTGTTTCTTTCTGTTTGAAAACCTCTTCCTTTCTCACCGTAGGCCATTGTAAAATGATACACCGTTCATCTCCGATAAAATAATTTTAAAATGCATTTACAGGAACTTTTAACCTGCACTACATGTTATAATGTTATGTTTCTTATGACATTTAGGAATATAACAATAATATAAAAGGCTTTAAATTAAACATGTAGTGTAATTTAACGCTGCGGGATCTTAAATCAGAATTGTACGTTATTTGAGAGGAAGTTATTATGTAGTAAGCTGATTTCTAATTAGTTGTAATGCTAATATGAAGACTATATCAAACATAGTGACTCACCAGAGCTGAAGTGTGTTTCTCCAGTCGTAGTAAGTGAAGACCATAAAGGAAGTCATTTTCTCCCTGCATGTCTCCTCAGCCTCCTTGCATCTTCTTTATCTGCCTCCTCTCAGTTTCTTATTTTTTCATCGGTGATCCTATTTATTTCCCCTGTGCAGGGTGGGCGGGGCTAACAGTGGCCCTCTATCAGGAAATCGCGACCCAGTAACATTGAAAGCCAATCCAACAAAAGAAGTGAAAGCTTCACGTAGATTACGTTAGTCTTTATCTTGTTAAATTATTTTAGCAAGTTGTTTCCTGCTGCCACGCACGCACGCACACACGCACGCACACAATCTTTGTACAAAAGATCAGAGTGCTATCAAAGCTGGTAAAGGTGCAGCTTTTTATTTCTTTGTATACTGCAGGGTGGCTTGTGGATTTACTCCAGCTGTAATTTAAGTCTTATTTAAGTGTTGATTATATTTAAAAAATAAATGTAGTGGAGTAAAAGTATACTATTTACATCTAAATTATAGTGGAGTAGAAATACAAATTAGCACAACATTGAAATACTCAAGTAAAGTACTAGTGTCTCAAAATTGTACTCAAGTACAGTACTTGAGTATCTACTTAGTTACTTTACACCACTGCATTCATGTAGTACCTTTACAGTAGTTGCGTTGCAGGTATAGATTAATGATAAACAATATGATCAACACTCAAATAAGACTAATATGGACTAAATTCACAAGCTACTCAATAAAATAATTACAATTAGTTAACCTTAACCAGCTTGATTAACACATAAATACGTAAATAATTATAATCAAAATATATACATGATTCTGAAATGGGCCAATCTGCATAATGAGCATAGATACTTAAATATATTTAGATGCCAATACTTTTGTACTTTTACTTGAGTAACATTGTGAATACAGGACTTTTACTTGTTACTGAGTATTCGTACACCTTGCTATTTCTACTTTTAACTTAAGTACAAGATCTGAGTACTTCTTTCACCCCTGATTGTAAACTAATTGGAGTCGTGCCCTACAGAAATGCTTTTTTGTTAACTGCATTCTTCTCGTCGCTTGGTTACCTGTGAACTCAGGACGGGGTCACATGTTCAGAGTTTACTTTAACAGCTGAAAGAATCAATACAATGTTACCAGAAGAATACCTTGGTTGGTGTCTAAACCTACAGTACATACCTATAGTTTATCCTCTTAAAAAACATGTCATTTCCACTCAAAATCCCTCCTTTTGTTCTTACTTTTCTATTTGATTTAGTTCACTGAAAGACCACGTAACAATGTCCTTTCTTCTGTACAGTATGTGTTTTCCTTTTACTGGTACCTAAGAATGTGGCAGAGGGGAATATGAAACCTGGGAACCTGACAACTTCTAAATAAAATAGGGCCTTGCTCATTTCAAAGGACAAATAATAGGCTTTCAATAAAGCACTTGCACTGTTGCTGCATCAGTCTGGCTCTGGTTAGGATGTATTGGGTGCTCTCATCCTGACAGATGGCCCTTTTAAACAGCCATCTTTGATATGAATGATGCATGTATATAGGCAAATTTTAATCCCAATTAAAGTCAAATCAGATTGGAATATTGGGGAATAACATACTGTATACTGAACATATACTGTATAGGGAATCTAGGGAATACTGTTTTCTGTTGTGCCCCTTATGTGCCACGCCTGTCTCCAAGTTGTCATACAGTACAGAGCATGCAGAAAACTATAAATGGCAGCTTCATTATTTGCCCAGAAATTAACCAATTCTCCTATTCTCACAGGCCCCAGGCTTCCTGTGAGAATAGCTTGTGGTTATTAGATTAAACACAACTTCATTTGTGAATGTGTCCACTGTGAGTGCAATATGAATTAAGCACATTGAGGACTTAAAACTAGATTTTGAAACAGGATCCCTCAACTATTGTTGCTATTGAAGTGTAATTTTTTATTAATCAAATTATCGAAAAACAGTCGACAACCATGGCAGCTCTTTGAGACTGTACTTTGAAACAGGAGTGGTACATTAAACTTGCTAATATGCTCAAAATGACAATGCTGAGAAGATTAGCAAGTATAATGTTCACTATTTTAGATTAGCTTGTTACAGTAGCATCCGGATATATTCTAACTAGCACCAAACACAAATAACATATTAGGCTGATAATTAATTTATGCAACAAAACCCCAACATTATTACTTGATGCTGCTAGATTAAAAAACAGTTGATTAGATTAGATTAGATTAAATTAGATTAAATATATTTTTTTATTCCAAATTGGGAAGCTTTTTTGTTACAGCATCCTGTAAAAAATGACACTGCACATACAAAATAAAATAAAAAATAAATAAATATATACATATTGACAATAAAAAGATAGATTGTACAATACAAAAATATACACAATATAAAAATATATATAATAAATTAGAAAACCCTATAATAGATTTACAGAACTACTAAATAAACTATACATTTAGGATGTATAAAGTGTGCAAAGTAGATGCAGTTTAATGCAGAAAAAATATATAATACAAAAATCACCCAAAGATCCACAACGCCTTGACAATTTAATTGGGGACGTTGAATATTTGTCATTTATAATACATTTAAATTGACTTCAAAGGGAATCACTTAAAATCAATCAGATTCTAGAGGAACCATAAATATACCTCTATATCCACCAGTTATTTACCACTTATATGTTTTAGGATTAAGCCTTGGACACAACACTTATATCTTTAGATGTTCTTTATTTTTAAACCTGAGATTGCTATCATTATTTATCACACATAAACAATGGCTGTAAACAAATATATGAATATGAAACCTGGGAACCTGACAACTTCTAAATAAAATAGGGCCTTGCTCATTTCAAAGGACAAATAATAGGCTTTCAATAAAGCACTTGAATGAAAAGAAAAACAGGTTTTAAATAAAACTTCTGCTGCATCAAAGGAGACTGAGTGGAACCCCAGCAACACAAAGAACAGTCAGCAGATGATGTGATTAGCAAGAGGAACAAGTTCAACAACAAGTAAACATACATTGATTAAATAGTTTTTTGTCAATGGTGTTGGACATGTTTCAAAAGATGTTGAACAAACCTTACTTGTTTTATTGGTCATAACTAAAGTAACAAACCTTTCACCAAAGACTGCCACTTATATGTACCAAACACTGTTATTTTATCACAGAAAACGTTTATTTGTAATACACACTGTCAAAGCGCTATGTATGAGGTCTTATTTTACATATGAGGTTTAGTTTAATTTTTATGACACTATCTTTTCAATGTATTTACAACATTGAATTGCAATTAAACCTCTGCAAGTACAATACAATCCAGTTTATGTTAAAATTGAATAATAATATTGATAGCCGTAGTGTAAGTCATTGTCATATTATGTTAAAAGTTGTAATTAGCAGTCATTTCTTTCAATATAAAAACGTATTTTTCACCGTCAGATGTCACCACAGAGCAAACATGTCATTATTTCTCGCTGCATTGTGGGCCCCTGCCATGCCGTGTGACACTACCACAGCCGGATTTGACTAACAAATCAAATGTGCACTCATCGCGTATGATGGCATGTTTTTCATATTGTGGACTATCGACAGAAGAAGTAAATCAGTAAAGCAGCAGTCAATCTTTCACTACTTCCCCTATTTGCAGTGCTGTAAAGTTACTAAGTAGATTAACTCAAGTACTGTACTTAAGTACAATTTGGAGGTAGTTGTACTTTACTTGAGTGTTTCCATTTGATGTACTTCTACCCCACTACAATTAAGGGGTAAATGTTGTACTTTTACTCCACTACATTTATGCAGAGGTGGAAAAAGTACTAAGATCTTGTACTTAAGTAACACTTTAGTTACTTTGCGTAATAATAGATTAATGATGTGAAATATAATCAACCCTTAAATAAGTTAGTTGCACCTGGAGTATCATTCACAACGTACCCTGCAGTATACAGAGTAATTCAAACTCCTGCACTTTTACCAGCTTTGATAAACACATCAATACATCAATAATTATAATCAAAACATAATAATATAATATAATATTCTGGAATGGGTCAATCTGCATAATGAGTACTTTTACTTTTGGTACTTTAAGTATATTTTGATGCTCTACTTTTACTTGAGTAACATTTTGAATGCAGGACTTTCCTGTTACAGAGTATTCCTACTCTCTGGTAATTTTACTTATACTTAAATACAAGATCTGAGTTATTCTTCCACTTCTGCCTATTTGTGATCAATCAACCCCACAAAACCCTGTTTATGAGGAAATTGTTTTAAGACTGGTAAGAAATAATAAAAGTTTCATAAAAAATGCTCAATGAAACAGCTGGGCAGTGTAGTTAATAGCATTACTTTAATTGGTAATTCACTCAAGCAGGAGCATAGTGTTTTGTTGAAAAAAATGGTTCTTTATATTGAATTAATTGTGTTATCTCAGGCACTTATCACACCATCAAAAAATGCCTTGAAATTCACCTGTCAATCATTTGAAGTAATTGAGTCATGATAACAGAAGTCAACATTAATCAGTTTGCACACTGATTGATCTTAAATTATTCTGTATAAGTAATGGTGATTATGATAAATGCAAAGCAGTAACTGATACTGATAGATAAAAGGTAACAATGTCCAATTACAGACCAATCAGCATCCTCCCCTGTGTCTCTAAGATAGCTGAGAAATGGGTGTCAAAACTTTGTACACAGGAAGAACACTGAAATGATCTCATCTTGTCTCTCAAAAGCTTTGGACAAGGTTCAACACTGGCTGAACAACATTTGCTTACAGTTAAACGTAAACAAAACAGTATGCATGATGTTCAGTAAACGACCAGTCAAAATCGAAGGATCCAACGTGTTTTTAAACGGAGCAGAAATAGAACTAGTCTCCCAGTTCAAGTATCTTGGAGTCATATTGGACTCGAACTTGACTTTTGAGAAACATATTAAGAAAGTATCCAATACCATTCAATTAAACTTGCAACATTTTAAACAAAGTAGACCTTTCTTAACTGTCAATGCTCATACAGTACCTCCACTGTATGATTCTATCCTACATTGAATACTATTTTACAAACTGGTCGTTTGCTTGTGCCACAAACCTTAAACCAATAGAACAGCTGTACAAGAGAGCTATCAAGGTTTTTGCCAGTAAG